GGCCCTGTCCCAGACTTTGGACAGGTGTACTTTTATTTATTTTTTTTTTTTACTGTCCACTTTTTAAACACCGTGTCCTCCGTGTTCCTCTTCGTCTTTCCTTTACCCAGCTTTGCGTTTCTGCTTGTTTTCATTATCACCATTATTATTACCTCATATTCTCACATGACAGCTTCTCATTAGTTTCTGAGGAGCCGGTTCCTCACTGAGGTCCTCTCTCTTGGGGCTCCTGATTTGAGATCATGCAGGTTAAAATGTTCTGCTGCTGCAGTCGTGATCATCCATGGAGGAGCAGCATTAGAGCTCCTCAACCAGCGCTGCTGGAGTCAGGGTTAGTCTGTGTGTAAAACAAAAAAAACACAGGGGGCGCTGTGTAATCAGACAAGTTCCGAATTTGAAGTATGCAAATTATATGATTATAGGAATTATAATTGTTTGTTGTATTTTGTTGTCAGGAAATACCTGTGTCTGTGGGTCAAACAGTTTTAAGACAAAACCAAAAAATCTAAAAATACAGTAGGATATTCCATATCATCCATTTAAGTTTAAACACTTGGTGTCTGGTTTGTTTTATCACCGAGGCACAACCTGCTCCTGTTGAAATCCACTGAATTAATATTAAAGAAAACCAATATTAATATTAATTAACTCTTTAAATTATTAAAGGTTTATCAACTTTTGGTAAACCTTTAATAATTTAAACACTGTTCCATTTCAGTCTGGTAAAAAAAAAAAAGAAGTTTAATCTGATCTCATATTTATTCATGTTCGTCAGTTATAAAACCTGATCAAATGAAACGTAACGCAGTTCAACTGCCGTCAAAGATGAAATGAAAATATTTGTAGTTATTAGCTATCAGACATTAAAAAGTTGTATTGAGCCATCCCTGATTTACATAGACCTCACTGTGACCTGGAGGTCGGAACTGTTGACCCCCAGCCAGAGGTTTACAGGATTGTATTCTAACATGGAGACTGGTTACACATACGCTGCGTTTCTTTGGTGTATTCTCTGGTTACGAACCAGTTTCCAGTTGTTCAGTTCAAAGGCCTTCAGATGGGGATTAGGTGTATTTGAATATCAAGTGAAACCTGACTAATCAAACCAAATTAAGTCTGGATCGTCACTACATCAATGCCTCTTTGTGCCTCCAGACCTTTTGTATGTGCGTCTTATAGGTTTTTGTTGTTTGCACATTCTGTTTCTGCATCACCAAACCCTCGAATAGAGACACCTTTGTCCTTTTTATATCCTCTCTGATCCCAGGAGCAGCCATGTGTAAACTCAAAAACCCTTTAATTCTGTGATTCACGGGCCTCCTCCGTCTTTCCTTCCGACAGGCACCAGTCTGCTGCCGCCGTTAATGTCTCTCAGCCAGAATTTATGTCTACACCCATGCCTCTCTCCTTCTGTCTCTGACTTTGAGCCATTAGAGAATTCCTCTGTAAAGGTTCTGTGGAACGTCTTGCATCAGAGCGGCGCTAATGAAAGGCATTATACATTACAGTGTTTGATTTAAGGATGATTTACAGTTCTTTCCCTGAGCGGTGAGGGATGGAAACCTTGTGCGAGATAAGCTGCGAAAGCCAATCTGCGGTATTCAAAGGACATCAAAGGGCTGAAATTGTGTATAGGATTCATCATCGGTGTAAGAGCCGGCACCGAGGAAGGTTTCCATCAGATGGGAAAAATTTCCATAACAGAGTGAGGGGGCATGTGAGTCATTATAATCCCAGAATCTAGCTTCTATGATATGCATGTGTGTTCAGGATGCGGGTGGCGGCGGGTGGTGGCGGCGGCGTTTGTAGCTGTCACTGATCTGAGGAGGACACAAACATCACTCCTGTCTGACAGAACAGGCAGACATCAGCCGGTGTTCTTGTTCTAGAGAAGATAACCTTTTAGATTCAGGCTCCTCTGATGAAGTCTCCGTGACCTACTGTTTTTTTTTCTTCTCTTTTCCAATGACAAGTGAGATTTCATTCATTTATCTTCCACTGCTCCACAGCTGGAGCCCATCTCAGCAGTCATCAGGCGGTGCAGACCAGTACAAACTGGACACTTGTCTCGTCCATCACTGCGCTACATATAGATACAAACAACCTCTCACAGGTTGCAGAGTTTTGCATATACATTTACAGAGGAATACTGACTTGATCCTGACCATCAGTTACCA